TCGTCGGTGTGAGAGTGACGTGGAGGAAATCGTGTGAGGTGGAGATGAGATATTGTGGGCAATCGTGGTTCAAGTTGAAGAGGATACCAGGAGATAGGACAAAGTTGAGATGTGCCGTTGAAGCCATATGTTCCATTCGGAACTCAAGAGAATAATAATAAAATAATAATAGGTACGCCAGCTAGCTTCTTAGCTGATCATTCAAAGTGCTCATTTTCACATGATTTATGTAAAGCGATTTACAAAACACCGTGGATTTAAATTACATTACTTATATAAAGAGGAAGTATGAGATGTGATATATAGGCGAGAATTTACAACAATCATACAAGAAGTTACTGTCGACTTTTCATGAAACATATGAACATAGTTTAGCCTAGGTTACTAGAAAGCAATTCAATAAATGAAGGTACTTTTACCTCGATGAAAAAGTACTCGGTTTCATGGAAGAACACTCTGTTCAAATCTTTACCATTCAATACGCACTGTGCTGTACAAATAGGTATGTGATTGCTTGTTTTTTTTAATCGTATAACAAGAGAGTAATACAATTTACTCATTAGATATGATTTGACACGTGATCGTGTGTATAAGCCGTAAACAATGTGACACGTGATCATATTAACGACTGAAAAAGAGAAATGAAAGAAAAATAAGTCAATTTATTCCATGATAATATAGTAGTCAAATTGAAGATTATTATTATTTTTACTATTATTATTATTGTAGTAATAAATAAACTAACGTTCCTTGGACAAAATTATTTCGTGCCTCACCTTTAGGTCGTTGTCAGTTTTGTCAGTTCGTTTATACTTGTATAAATTGTTTTTGGCTGGAGGATTTCATCATGAACTGATATCAGTGAGAGAACAATTGGAAAACCGACTGCGAGTATTGCCAGACACATCTGTTTCCTCCGTCCTAGTTTGAGACTCTTCATCGGTTCGCACCTATGACCAACAGGCTTCGAAGTCAGGACATTCTGGTTACAGGACGGCTAGCGAGCTAGCTCGTAGATCATTCATCGACCACTGGGACACGATTCAATGGCTAGTTGGTCCATGAATTTTAACTTCTGGGAATTCATGACATAGCGCGACCACTTCGCCATGTCTTCTTCAATGATGAGTTACTGCCTCAACTTCAACCTGTTGTAGCCTACTGGCGACGGCTTCCTACTACTACTACTTATCTGAATAGGTCCAGTCGGTAGTGAGCATCAGATGAGTATTCAGGTAGTGGTTTTGTAGGGATTTTTGTTTGTTTGATTAGTTTGATGATTTCATCATGAGCTGACATCAATTAGAGAACCATTGGAAAACCAGCAGGGAGCACTGGACAGGTGTTTCGTCCGAGTTCGCACCCGCCAGGGTTGTTGTTTTGACTGAAGAATTTTGTTTATTCCAAGAAATCGAATCCACTGACTAACAAGCTACTCCACAAGCACACCAGCAACGGAATTCTGTTAATATCAAAGGTTAGGCAACACGATACTCACTGAAGATTTCAGTACATTGCAGCATTGTTTCATTCATAGGGAAATTCCCCTCTCATGTTATTTCAACTCTATGTTGTCTGAAATAACTACCGATTTCAGGTTTACATTATTCTGATATAACTGGTGTTATTGCTGCAGAACAATTTCTATCAACTATATGATAAATACAATGTATCTTTTATGTCAATGAATATAAACTCATCACAGTGAATTCTTATATGTTGCCTCCACTTTTAGAATTTGACCAGTACAAACTGGCAACTGGAAATGTCCCCACCCACTTGAAAAAAAAGCTATTTCCCACCACTGAAATGACCATTAATGTCCTGGGTTCGTCGTCCCCAGTCAAGGCATACATGCGTCTTACTGAAAAGCCTCAAACTCTAGAGCGAGAAAAGATATCCAGTACTCCCCAAATGGTTCTCTGACTAATATCACTCTGTGACCAAAACTTGAACTGGTTAAAGCTCTACAAATGAAACATTTGAAGAGAATAAATTAGACTTAAAATCAATGTCTCATTCAATATGATTAATACTGTGATGAAATTATTCACCAATTATGACTGAAACACAGCCATCCCGTATAAAAGACGGTTGGATAATTGATGGACAATAAGTCTATAAAATTTACAACTCAAATTTGACGAGTGTCATATTTGGATGTCTAAAACACTTACACACACACACACACACACACACACACACACACGAACACAGATGCATTCACAGAGAAATATCATGATTCACAAAATCACTACAAAATTTTTATCAGATCACTGGTTTGCATTATTACTATTATTTATTTTATCTGTCAGTCAAATTTCCAGATCACTGAAAAATAATAAAATGTATATCCCCTGATACAGAAATATTAAACGTCAGACATGCATCCTTACAACTATACATACATATACACATACATTCATACATAGGGAGAGGGGAGCAAAGGAAACGTGTTCATACAAGAATAAAATCGAGTGTAATTTCACTTCCTTTTACTTAATTAATCCATGTTGAGTAAATTTCAAATTTCAAAGATTTACATTACTGATCTGATGATGATGATGAAAAACTTCTGACTGACTGTAGTATGTATGCATGCATCCACCTTATCTCTCATAGTGGAAAATTCGTTACATCTTTACTTAGACGTACGTGTGTATCCTTGCTCCCGTGTGTGTGTGTATGTGTGCGTTTGTGTGTATGCACAAGTCCAACAAACGAAAAGAATGATTGAATCATCAGATAAGCCTAAAAATACAACGAACTCTACATACTGGTAAATTTTACGATTGTATGGAAAGATAATCCATACCAAAAGGAAAGTCATTCATTGTATAAACTATAAACTTTGATAAATAAATGCAGATTTGTCAGAATTTTCCTGATTCTCGATGAAGTCAAGTGTAATTTATTTACTTATGATTTCTTTGGATAACATTCGCTAAAATGATCATTTTTTGTTTTATAAGAAAGTTAATCGGTAGATCATACTGTTCATAGAAGTTTCAAGTTCGATCACGGATCGATACTATTTAGAGAACTACTGAAGATGAGGGAAGAGGACAGATGTTTGAGTAGGCAGCCAAATGGGGTTCAAAACCAACACCTTCAAGTTACGAGATGAACTCGTTGGATTTCTCATCAGTGGCTGAATGATCGACCAGCTTGTCTTATAACTTGAAGGTCCTGAGTTCGACTCCTGGAGGGGTAGTAGGTTCGTACCAATGACGAGTCCCAAACCCGTATAAAACAGTTCTCCAGTACTCTCTGGTTTTCAATGGCTATCTAAGTGATATCAGTTTGTAATCTAACTTAAAAACGATATATGTCCAAACCAAGTTCACTTTTAAGAGTTTGAAAAAATTTAGGCATAGAGTATATGATATTCATTATAATAAAGGCTTTTGAATGAAAAATAAAGCGATATTGTTTTTACTGACGTTTCGATACTTAATGCTAATAGCTTTATCAAAGTATTATTAAACCGGAATTAGAAAAATCTCAGCATATATATAACGAAGAGTTAAGGGATGAGAAAATAGACTTACGTCAAGTTAAAGGGACACATTGAAAGTAAAAATAGCAATGAAGATCACTGAAACAAATAACAAAGTACATCTGTTAAGATACCAAAATAAAGCTTACTAACTTGATCATGGTTCGTCTATCTGGGGTCATTTTTCGTTTTCAAGTTGGTCAGCTGGTAAAGATATCAAAATCAAGTGTAAATTGTTGGATTTGATCAGTGTGTGATATTATAAAAGCAGTGTGTGTTTGTAAAGTGAACTTGCTTATCACATTCGTGTTGATTTTGTAACTTCATGGGGGAGGGAGGTGTTGTAACCAGGTCAGATTCTGTTTTAGTCCATCATTCCTATTCAGGCAGTTGGGATTCCACTTGGCATGAAATGCTTCTGATATTAGACGTTCTTGGTCATTTCTGAAGTTTTTCTGGATTATTTCAATATTGTCAAAATCAATTTTGTGGCCTGATTCTATAGCATGTGCACCTATGGCTGATGATTTTTCAAGTTTTTCTAGTTCAATCGGACTTCTCGGTGGTCGAAGAGATGCTCTACGGTGTTCATTTCTTCTGATTTTGATTTCTCGAGATGTATGTCCGATGTATATCGCATCACATTCCAAGCATTTTATTTTACATACACAATTAGATAGAGATGTTTTGAAGAAAACTCTAATGTCGAGGTGATTGAGTACTCTTCTGATATCGTCTGATGTCTCTGCTCTATATATGGAATGACGACTGTTGATGTCCATGTTTTCGGAATACGTTTTCAGCCATACTTAATGTCAGTGTTGATTTTGTTGATGAAGTTCCTTGGGTAGTTGTTTTGCTTGAGAGTTCCAGCAATATTTGATATTTCTTCTCCTTTTTCTTTCTCATCCGTTGTCAGAAGAGTATGCTTAAAAACATTTAAGAAAAACAACATAAATGTGTACAAAAATGATTAGTTATTCATTTCACCTGCCTATCCTACGTCGTTATCGAAGAATACAGATGAAATGTAATCAGTCAGTGCTAACCAACGATTATACTATTAAAAGTATTGATCTTGGCGCCAACAATGAGTTAATTTATTTCTTTCTAAGGTGAAATTTGACTGATTCACTGTGTCATTTAGTTAGTTATGAGAAGTTATAAAATCCTACGATAACAATTTAAAAAAAACACGTCTTTCAAACTAAATATCACATGGCTAATGTCACGAAATGATTGTCAGTCATTTGCAAATTCATCTATTTAAAAATAGAACGCATTTTAATCCATCTTGTCAGTGTTGACTGAATCCGTTTTGCTATATGTTCTAAAAGACATATTCAGCAGTTAAAGAGTGTCCTATTTAAAAAAATTTATTCATCAGGTTATGTGTGGCTCTGGTAATATATTTTTCTCATATCTATAGAAAAATGCATTCCATAACCTTATGCAAATTTATAATTAATCTCTTCAATTTTTTATACTATTCATTCAACAGATCACATATCAATCAACAACTTCGTTATTTTGAGAGAAAAACAAGCAGTCGTACACAGAAAAACAGAAAAGAAATGAATCTCAAGGTATTCCCAATTAAAATTCTACTCTATTGGATTACATTGTTTCTGAAAGGAGTTCATCTCTCTGGTAAGTAGTTGTTATTAATAGTAGTAGTAATAGTAGTAGTAGTAGTAGTAGTAGTAGTAGTAGTAGTAGTAGTAGTAGTAGTAGTAGTAGTAGTAGTATTAGTAGTAGTAGTAGTAGTAGTAGTAGTAGTAGTAGTAGTAGTAGTAGTAGTAGTAGAAGTAGTAGTAGAAGTAGTAGTAGTAGTAGTAGTAGTAGTAGTAGTAGTAGTAGTAGTAGTAGTAGTAGTAGTAGTAGTAGTAGTAGTAGTAGAAGTAGTAGTAGTAGTAGTAGTAGTAGTAGTAGTAGTAGTAGTAGTAGTAGTAGTAGTAGTAGTAGTAGTAGTAGTAGTAGTAGTAGTAGTAGTAGTAGTAGTAGTAGTAGTAGTAGTAGTAGTAGTAGTAGTAGAAGTAGTAGTAGTAGTAGTAGTAGTAGTAGTAGTAGTAGTAGTAGTAGTAGTAGTAGTAGTAGTAGTAGTAGTAGTAGTAGTAGTAGTAGTAGTAGTAGTAGTAGTAGTAGTAGTAGTAGTAGTAGTAGTAGTAGTAGTAGTAGTAGTAGTAGTATGAATTAAATTTCCACACTCTAAATTTATACGATCATTTTTCATTTCAAATATGTGTAGGTTGTGGGAATCTTCAATCTCTAAAAACTGAATTTTTACATTTTTAAACCTACTGCATACACTTAGGTTATTATTAGACTAGTAAATTTTATGTAAGATTTTTGACCTTTTTTCATAGGTGTTTCAGTTGACATTTTATCCTTTGAATGAATTAGTTGGGAAGTCAAGTTTACATGCCCTCTAGAGTATAAAAGAAAAAAACAAAATAAAACTTGTTGCTACTGTACATATTGCTATTATTTTAACACTTAGCCGTAGCATCTCTAGTTTTATCATTGGGTGATATGAATTTGAATATTTGAGGCGCCTTCATCTCTTGTGAAGTTGCACACATATATCTTGAGTAGGAGTGTCAACAAGCAGAAAACACACAGGTCTATGACTTCCTGCTGGTCATCTCCAACCACCCAAAAGCTTTATAGATATAGAGAAAAAAGGAAATAGCTTTTTTTAAAAAAAACGCTCACCACCCACACATATGGTATAGGGTTCGGTCCCCAACCGACGCACTCCTTTACCTTGCTAAGTCGGCAGTAAGCCTGGTTAAGAGGAAAAGTTAAGTGTCAGGCTAGTGATTCCACTCGGAAGAAATAAAACCACTGCTACCTAAAATTTAAAGCTCGAGCTTGAAGCACTATGCTCCACTTGAAGCGTAAAGCATAAAAAGTGAAAACAATATGAGTATAACAGTGTCGCCTAGAGTACGATGAAACTTCATTTTATTGATATAATACTGCCATTGAGGCACAGTGGTAGAGTATAATTTTGGCTTAGAGAAAAACTCATCAGTCGCTATGCATGCACTAACATACAGTCATAAAGTAGGTGGGGGGGATAGAGTCGCAGTCCAGAAAAGGAACATAAGTAGATAAAAGGGGAGTTTGATCACTGAATCTTTGTTTATCGAGACTACACCATACATGTACAGTAGAAATGACACAACGGCGATACCAAAATAAAATAATTATGTGATGATCTGATATCAGCCTCTCTTCAACAAACTCTCATTGCGTATCTCAACAGATTTAATAATAATGAATTTCCATTATTTTATTGAGGCGAATAGATACGCCGAATGTTCTGTCTAGAATGTGTTTCATTTCTCAATCGAATGAAATGTATATGACTTTATTTGACATCTCCTGAAACCTAACAACTTTCCAAAATATCAGTAGTAACTTGCTGTGTACAATAGTGTCAGGTTACTAAATTTACTGACACAGTGACAAACTTGAAAATTTAAGGTAGAAATCACGTTAATAAACAAAATTACTATTTTTAAATGTTCACCTATTTGAAATCCAAACATTCCAGTAAGGGAATTAATTTTTACTTCAAATTAAGTATGTATTACGTAAATTAGGACAAAGTAATCGGTGAGATTGTGAAGCCATATTGATTCATACGGTCAGAACACATGTCACACATGCCAAGATATGATGTTCCTCATCAAGTCATGTTAACTGAAATCGCATCAGGTTGACAAAGAGTTAAAATTAGTGAAATCAAAACATGGCACAAATCCATGAGGCTTTTGACTGTTAAATTTAGCAATATCATCAGTTGTAGACTGCTTGGCTAAGGTCTCTGAGACGATAAGAACTAGTAGTTTGAGACTGTCCGTGATGTAGGTCGAAATTATTCTCCATAGAGAAGATGTAGTCATTCTTTATAATCTCCAGGTAGTTATTCTTTCTGGCTTACATTTCTGTTCATTCATAGGTTCTTCTGAATTCTTTGTGTGCTATATAGAGTGTGGTGACTTGAACTGTAATACTTTTGTTCAATCTTCTACATTGAAAACTCAGTTAGTCACATAAATTAGATTGGTTGGAGGATCTCATCATGAGCTGACATCAATTTGAGAAGCAACCATTGGAAAACCAACTAGGAGTACTGCCACATAGCTGTGTCCTCTGTCCCAATTTGTCACTCTTCATCAGTTCGCACCCACCACCAGGGTTCGAATTCAGGACATTCTGGTTACAAAACTAGCGAGCTAGCTCATAGACCATTCATCAGCCACTGGGACCAGATCCAATGGCCAACCAGCACATGAATTCTAACTTCTGGGAATTCATGACATAGCGTGACCACTTCTCAATGTCTTCTTCGATGATGAGTTACTGCCTCACCTTCAACCTGCTTTACCCTACTGATCATGGCTTCTCACTAGAACCCCAAGTTAACTGTCTGAATAGGTCCAGTCACTAGTGACCATCAGATCAATTTTGAAGTTTTAATTTTCAACCTACAAGACCAATACTTGAAAAATATAAATTAAAATCTTCAGTCTTGTGTATATTATGTAATTTAAGACTTTCGAAAGATTTCCTATATGTACCCTGTAGAAATATGACGTTGAAGAAACGGTCACAATAATTCTAAATATTTCAGTCGAATAATTATTTTACAGTGTAAAAGGCCAAAAGCATCAGTTTTAAATAAACTTTGTCTTTACCCAAAAACAACCCCGAAAAACTCTAATATATATGAATGTAAATCTATAAATCTGTCCCATTAATCAAATATATAAAATGGACAATCCTCCTCATTTAATCCTTCTTATTTTACTCTCTGTTTTTGACATCAAAACATTTTGTAAAAATAATTTTGTGCCAATATACATTGGAAAGTATTATAGACGCAGACGGAAAGCAAAAACAAAAAGCATTTATCTTTGTTTTAGTAATTGTCATTTGACACTTGAATATATATAGAGAGAGTAAGGAAAGGAAATAATAACCGTGTCATCTAGACAACTTGGTCAAAGTGTCATGATATTTCATCTGATCTCATAGAATCGAGTATCTTCCCTATGGTGAACAGTATTAATCTCTACCTGCTGTTCTTTACCATTCTGACAATGAATACATTGTATGCATTCATGTCTAAAAAGTGAAATGCGTATGGTCCCCCCCCCAACCTACCTCTCTGTCTCTCTGTGTCTCAGAGAGAGTCTGATATTCACCTGTATCGAAAAGTATTATACACTATTTTGTGTGTGTGTGTGTGTGTGCGTGTCAGAGAGAAAGAGAGAAAGACAATGGATGACTACAAATCATATCAACCTATCAACCTGTCAGTCTAAGTCTCGTGTATCAAGCACCCTACTGTTGTTGTTATTATTATTATTATTATTCCGTTAGATATAATGTAATATTACCACTCCTTTATTTATATACATGTATATAGTGAGAAGTACAGGTATATCATCATACCCCATCACTTATCTTTCCCTCCCTTTCACTCTCTAAAGAATAATCATTCCTACTCTATAGTGGTCTGCAGTAGATGTTTACAGATATAGTCACGTGTTTGTAGCTAGGTGAATTCCTCTTCCTCCTACCTCTACAATGACATCAAAGAAGAAGTATTTATCAAAATAATAGAAGTATATTGGCTGAAAAAATAATTGCTTTTCAATGACTGAAAAAAAAAAATAAAATCGCCATTTCAAGAGTAAATAAATATGATTATTATTAATAAAAATAATGACTGAGAGACTTGTAACTAAATAAATAAAAAAAATAATAAACGCTTTGTTTATTTTTATCTATTGGTTGCCGTTAGATTAAAAGCGTTTCTCTCTCTCTCTCTCTCACACGTTCTATATTGTATTTGATAGATTTGGCTTAGTTACAAATAAAACTATACTATCCTAAACACATGGGTAGGGATATGGGGTCATTGGCTTAAATACTCGAAAGCCAACAAGGCAGGCCTGGATATCAAACCTGACTTCATGGACTTTAGTTTAGGCAGTTGGGTAGAACTATCAGCCATGACAGAGCAAGTGTATGACTTGTTGATTGATATATGAGAATTCAGTTCCAGCTAGCTTAGTTCTTAGTTCTTGGTGTAGTATGGCATACTGTAATCCACCAGAAGGAGCTGAAACTTTTAATATTGTGCACTAAGTGAATAAATCTTCAGATCCAATGGATAAAAGTTAATATTCGCAATACATAACGTCACTGCCAGCCGGTGTCACGCTTGACTTGTAAGACCATACTGGTTATGGCTGCCTACTAGAACCGCAGGCTACATCATCCTGTAGTCAATTACTAGAGAACATTAGATTAATTTTCAACTGTTACTTTTCAGGGATTCGACTGATTTCAATTTTGATCATTAGGCAACCTACGGGTCTTTAGATCGACTCTTGGTGGGATCATAGATATGTGCAATGAAGAATCCCAAACCAGGACGAATCCTGATTACCTGCCTGATATTAACCTGTGATGTAACCTGAAACTAATTAAATCCCTGAAAATCAGTACTCAAAAAGTCAATTTAATTTTTGAAAAATCATAATATTTCTTTAAAAAAAAACTACTGTTATCTGTTCAGCTCAGGAATGTTTAAAATTTCCCGAACCTTAACTAAGACATAGTTTTAG